CCCACGTTTTAATATGTATATATAGCTTCTAGTATCATGGTCATGCACTTCCTTTTCCTTCAGATCCCCAGCTCATCAGTGCCTAGAATACATAACAAAAGGAATCAATATTCCTTTTCATCTCTTTTATTCAGTATTAATCCCAAACACCACTGATCTTTTGGGAATCAAGAACAATAGTTTAATGTAAAGTTTGGAGGAAAGATTTAATTATAAATCCTTGTAACTGTTTTATTTCCTCTCCAGTTCCTCTCCCCTTTTCCTTCAGCTCCTGCCTCAGATCAGTATCACCTCCTCTCAGGTCCTCTGTTCCACTCCGAGGGACATGTCAGCTTCTGTGTTACCAAAAGAGTGACAGCACAAGTCTCCAAACACCAAAACAAAACCACGGCTAAGAGAGACCCTCTCTTCAAGACAGCTCCCTCAACCAGCTTGACTTTCAGCTGCCAAAGCAATGTGAACACAGGGAAAGGGGTGGAAACACACAGCTGAGAATGGTGCCAGAACAGAACCTGGACAACCTAGGGTGAGACAGGCTTACTGTGCTCTTGAATCACACTGTGAGTGACACAGGAACTTGCCTTTCCATGACATGGGGCTGTGCCAGTAACTCATGCATAAAAGGAACAGAAACACACTCTTATGCTGGGCTAGTAGTTTCCATCCACATACACACAAAAAATTTCAATCTTGCTAAAATCTCTCTTTGTCCTTAACATTGACAATGTCTAGGACAACAGAATGGAGGAAACACAAAACAATTTATTATAACTTGAAAATAAGTTTCTATAGGTTTTTTGATTGTTTTTCCTTAAATAAGGCTTAAATGTGTGTCCTGGGTTCAGCAGTAGCAGTCATGTTTTTTTTCCTTTGTGTTAACTGGTGCAGTGCTGTGTTTTGACTTCTAGTTTGAGAACAGTGTTGGTGAAGCCGATGTTTTCGGTTGTTGCTAAGTGATGTTTACCCTGACCAAGGACTCTGTGAGGCTCATGCTCTGCCAGGGAGGAGGGGAAGCTGTGAGGAAGCAGAGACGGGGCGCCTGACCCGGGCTAGCCGGGGAGGTATTCCATACCACAGCACGTCATGCCCAGGGTGAGGGGTAACTGGGAGTTACCCGGAAGGACAGGGGCTTCCGGGTGGAACTCGCTTTCTTGGCCGGTGGTATCGTATTCTCTTCCCTTGTTATTTTCCCTTATCATTGTTTTAGCTGATAGTAGCGGTGGTGATTTGTTGCTGGACTGTTCTTGTCTCAACCCGTAGGAGTTGCACTCTCTCGATCCTCCTCCCCGTTCCTCTGGGAGCGGGGAAGGGGAGAGCCCCGGTGCAGGGGGGAGGGAGACGGACACGGACCTTGATTGTTGTCAGCTCGGCACCACTCACTGGGAGTGAGTGAACAAGTTACCTGACTGGGTTTAAACCACAACGAAGAAGAAGTTCTTGTGTGTCCATTAGCCTGCACTGTTGCCCTCACTGGGGAATTCCCTGGCTATACACAAGCTCAGAGACCAGCACAGAGCAGCCCAGGCTGAGCACAGAGAAGCATAGGATGAGTCTATAAGGTCCTTTGTAGGAGTAAGTACTTTTACCTGTTCTCCAAAGCTTAAGAACTACATATTACCTTTCTCAAATTATTTTAATAGTTAATACTGTTCCCATTTCGTATGATGCAGCTCTCTTAATCCTCTATGACATTATAGCTGCACAAGCATCCACAGCAGAAGTCTACTAAAAAAAATTCCTGTTCTAACTCCTATCAGCTAAAAAGCACACAGTCCACTATGCACTGAGCATGAGCAGTACAGAAATAGACATATACAGACTTCAGGAACACAGAACAGACTGTCATTAAATATACGTGTGTGTGTGCGAATGTATATAAATACGTGAATAGTTGCACAACCCACACATCACTAGATTCTGCAGAACAGCATAGAATAACGTCCAGGTATAGAGATGATGAACAGGTGCTGCACTTATTTTTCAGTCAGTGGAGCTGTGGGAGGCAGGAATTAAAGGTGTGAATTCAAAACAGGAAGAATAAAGGGAAAGACAAATTCCAGCTGGGGACATCACAGCACTGCTCTGCTGACCCAAGCAGAAAAGGGAACAAGTTGTAAATTACTGGAAAAAAAGGTTTAGTAAAAAGAAGCTATGCTATATAGGCATTAGTAGTCTTTCCACACCACACAGGGCTTAAAGTGTGAATATACGTAAGATTTAAATATAGAAACCCATGCAACAGGTTATAAAAAATCATTTACATATAGTTATTTACAAAAACCATACCCATGATTAGATAAAGAGCTGTACAAATACATGTATCACTAAGCAGGATACTCTCAATTCTCATATTAACATTTGCATATTTATATATCATACTTCCAAATATTTAAAGATTTTTTTTTCTCTGCTTCTTTAAAACTCATGAAAGTTCTTGATGTGATGAAATTCACTTTTAAAACTGCAGGGACTGCTGCGTGTTTAAATGAGCCATTATTTGCTAGCTCATAATCATCTTTTATATGTCTGCTAGAATCACTGATGCATTAATTGCTTATCAAAATTTGAAACAGTTCATGAGTCACTCTGAAGATAAAATAAATAAATATTAATGAGTCAATTTCAACAGAATTTATGTCCTCTGCCTCTTAAAGCTGAAAGACTCCATTTATTACATGTCAGAATTAGGTCTCGATACCTGATGTATGGGCAAATATACTCAAAGCCATACTCAGCACATCAGAACTGAGATCACCATGTTTCAAGGGATCAATCCATCATAGTCTTGTTTGACCAAATTATAGATCAAAGAGAGAAAGGCCTGGTCAATTGTAACATAGAGAGTAAGTGAAAGATCTCTAAATGCACAGTTCTCATACAGAGTGAATGAAAAATGAAGTATTTTGGTTTTAAAGTTTGGAAGTGATTCTATATGAGAAGATCTTAACAAGTAAACACTTGATCTTCAAACAAACACATTGACACAAAATATCACTGCATAAGAAAATCTGGTATTTCTTGCATGACATGAAAGAGGGGAGAGGGAAGGCATAGAGTTTTCAAGAATCCTAAAATAAAGCATAAAACTTTCATTTTGAAAACATGAGTGTGCTGAGAGGCTTCCAAGTCTGTGCCAATGCCAGTTCACTGCTGAAAATCCAAGCTTAAAACTTTTCAAGCTAAATGACCAAAAATGAAACAGGAAACAGAAGTCTTTCCCTTGAGCCTTTACTTTTCCATTCTAGTTTTTTCCTGGAAGTTGTAGGTAAAAGAAATCACCCAAAAAATCTGAAGAGGAATGGGGATTATCTCTAAAAGGCAACTGAAGCTCTGAAACATATTAGGAATTAGACAGACATCAGTGAGCCACTTCTGAGCCAAACTGTTAAAAAATTTCTAAAAAAAAAAAATCACAGTTTTTCTTAAGGAAGTTAATCAGAAGAAGATTCTGGATAATGTAGCTGGCTGGTATAAAGCAGATAAAATGGGAAATTCATAGAATTGTGCAATTTTCCTGTTGCTCACTGAATACAAGCAGGATGAAGAAACCATTTTAACAGATTGTTGGTCTGAAGTGAAGAATCTTCTGTTTGTTAAATTAAGTCCAGTTGTTTATTGTCAGATCTTCATATCAGCTGCTTAGCAGAAGATACTGCTTCAAGTCCAGCTAGTCACATAAAGAGGAAGTATTACTGCCCCACAGTGCCACAGCACAGTGACACAGAGACAGCCTGTTAAGACCTGTGTATACTGTAAAACTAAAGGCATCTACCCAGACCAAGATATCCAATCCAGTATTAAACACAGAATATGTCACTGTCAGTGAAGCCTGTATGTAAGGATACAGAGAAAAATACAATTACAAAATGTATTTTGGGTCAATATAATGTAGGAAGAATTTAAACTTTGCTACTTATGTAACATTCTTAAATTTTCAGATACACTAGTTTTCTTTATAATGTGTAACTAAATAATGTGTATCTTTCTCTAACCATATCTTTCAAGTTCTTCATGCATTCACAGCTAATACAGCTCTCACACAACTTGCTTTTTCTCTTAAGTATATTTAAGGAAGGATTTAGTTCATGTTAAAAATGAACTGTGACACTTTCTTTGAAACCTACAAAATTATGCAAATAATAAATGCAAAGTCATAGGTTCTTTAAGACAGGCTACTGGCCTCTAAAAGAAGCATTGTTTAAATATATCATTATGTGCATGTAAGATAACAGTGAAGTGATTAAACAATTTTCTTATGCTCATGAAAAACGTTTTTTTGTACTCTTAAAAATTATTCTCATATGTCATAGGATGTCACAGAAAACGTTTCCCATCTGCAAACAAATACTGCTGAGATTTAACATTCTCATTTACACAAATGTCAGGGTATTAGTATGGTTTTATAGAATATTTATGGGATCAGTTTTTCACCAGATAAGTCACCTTCCTTTCATTAATATTTTAATTAATATTAAATTTCATTAATATTTTAAGCTTTCAAACTTAATGACACATTCCATTGTTCACTGTTGTTCAGCAGAACTTAACAGACAGTTGTAAAGTTAAAATTAAGCTACTCAGTGCATCTACTGAAAATGTTAACTTCTAAATAAAAAGGGTAAAGAAAAGAAGTTTCCATTGGGTTATGCAACAATAATTTTTACTCAGCAAAATTTTGAAAAATGCTGTGGTTTCATGGGAAGTGGGAAAAGATAAATTCCACACAAGAAATCTTTTCATACTGAATAGCCCTTACTGTAAATGCTGCCAAAACATTGAATCCCCATTTGATGTTAAACTTGTGAACAGAATACAAGAAATTAGCAGGTCATGTGCATGAGTAAAATAAAAACTGGCAATCCTGGAAAAAAGCATTGTCAAATAAACTGAACTCAGATACAAATGTGTTCATCACCATAAAAATGCCCAAACAAGTAATAGTTATGTTAATTTTATGAGTGTCATGTTTGCACTAAGTGTGGATAAAACCAGCTACTTACCTGCTCAGATAATTCTGGACCATTGACATGAGCCTGTAAGAAAGCATCATTAACAAGCAAGTGGAAGTTCAGAAGCATGTGCTCAATGTCATATGTTCCACTCATGGCACTTGAGAGCTCCTCCAGGGACTGAATATATCCCCGCCAATGAAGATCAGCTTCCGCTATGTTAGCTAAGCAGCCTCGGATAATGTTGAGGCAGTATACAGGGCTTACTTAAAGTCAGTCCTTGGCAATGGGGGCAGTACTGCATTCTCAGTAAAGCTCTGCTGCAGTCTTTAGAGAAATGCAGATGATCTGTTGTATTGATCACTTCAATCCCCAAATTCAGAGCCTGCAAGAAAGTCAGGCTGGGTAACAGTGATCTTCCCATTTGTCTTATGGCCTTTTTGGGAATTTTACCAAAGGGTTTGATGTCTCTTCTCGCCATTTGGAGGCACTCCGCATATTCTATTGAAATGTCAGTCAGACCAGGGTTAATCACATGGTTGTAGATGACTGGGAAGAGGGTGTCAAGAAATCTGTTGAGAGATTCCTCTGTGCTAATGTCTGTGCCAAATACGAAGAGTCCAACATCTGTGAAAAACTCCTGTACATGTGTAGTAGCCTCAGCAGCCATGTTTTTATATGTTTTGGAGAAAAGTGTGCTTGTGTAATTCTCAGCCAGTCTGATAAGCATTTCAAAGGTTTCTGCAATAAAGTAAGTTTGTTATTTTTAAGGTTTCAAATATAAAAAATTAAAGTAAGAAATTAAAACAATTACATCAGGACATCTTACATCTATCGGCAATGCATTTTTTTTACCTTGCAAGTAATTCTACAACACAATCAATAATCCATATGTTTTCTTGGCAGGACATACTAAACAATCTAAAAACTATAAAAGGAAATTGATTGTAAGATGAGTTATTAAGTTACAAAATACAACAAAGCCCTACTGTATTTTTGTATATATATACATACATTAGTTCTCTCATCTCATGACTCATTCTGCAAATTGCACTAGAAACTTAAATGCTCTCAGTCACTTCAAGTCATTCCTCTTACCATCCTAAAATGGATGGGCAAAAGTAATAGCAATTTAAACAACTCTCCCATTCCATTAAAAATTTTTAAAAGATCAGTTTTGTCTTTTTGTCTTCCAAAGGAAGGAGGTGTACCCAACACACATGAGAACTATGTTCTATGTTTGAATCATACATGCTTTTAAACAACGCTACTGTTTGGTCTGGCAATTGCTATGGTCAAGCAAAGTGCTGGCATGGGCAGAACTGCCTTCTTTGGGCACTGAGATGCACCATCTCTAATCCTGAAGATCTGCACAACAGGTAAAGTCTGAATGGATAAACTTACATTTCATTTCAAATGTTAAGCAGCAATCCTTAAGTACGCTGAGTAGTTCCTAATAAAAGTATTCTTCCCTGACTTGATCTATGATTTGCAAGTAAGGAAAAAAGCTGGGTTTCTAAACAGAAAAGGGGTGTCTGAATGAAGAATTTTCCAGATCTGCCTGAGAAGCTTGCACTTCAGGGAAAGCAAAGGAGCAATATATAGTTTAAAAAGAAACTTAGACCTCAGAATACGTATTACAAGTATTAACCCACTTTTTCCACTGGATGACTATGACTCAGTAACTTTCTTTTATTCATTCAAACTTTACAAATTTTTTTTTTCACATTTATCTTTTTAATGGAACTCTATAGAAGTGACTAAAAGCACGAAGTACAGTTAATACTTTCCAAATGGATGTTAAAATAGGCAGAATCAAATAGTGTCAAACTATGCCACACAATTAATGAAGCAATCTGAAGTCTGATGTTAAGTCAGTGACTGAAAGGAACAGTAGAAAGAACAATTTTAATGTAATAACGAAGACTAGCTATCATATCTGTAATACATATTTATGCATAATAAATGCTTTATATTCTAATTAAAAGTTTGTCAGTTCAATGGGTTTAAAATTGCAAACTGTGTAAAGATCATAGGGAAGACATATTAATCTAATCCGCTTATACTTTCTATGCATTCTTTGCTTTCTCCAATGAAAATGAGATATATGCTTCAAAATCAGATTCATTAACTCTATTCCTGTGCTATTAAGTGCTGACTGCCCACAATAGAGTAGAAAAGTGCACCCCATTTGCCTTTCTTTTTTTTTAACATTACTATTGCACATTCATATGTGCGTCTCTCCTAAAGTGAACTTCACTATAAACATTCATACATGCCAGATATCACAGTGATTCAGCATAGGGTTTGATTTCTTTAAAAAGTCAGACTCCTGAAGCCAGGACATCACATGGAGCTCCCAGCAGTGGAGACCTATTCCAAAGCCTCTTCTGTTTACCCCATGATTTGACATGTGGAAGTACCAGCTGAGTAACTCTGGAGGCCACCACTGCCTGCATCCACTGTTCATTCACCGGCTCTGTGACATATTTCAACCTCCAGCACTTCATGCCAGACCATACCTGAGACACCTGCATTGCAGCCAATGTTAATATGAGAGACACATGTTCTTCTGGAGCAGCAGATGAGACACAACATATCAGATAGGGCACACTGATCAAGACACCCACTTTAATGCGACTGAACAGAGGATGAGATCTCCACCAGCTATAAAGGCAGTTTGGACACCTAGCTCACATGGGGACACATGTACATGGACAGCTAAATTAGAACCCTAAATATTCTACTGTACATTTTGTCTCATTTTTATTGGAGGGAATAAACACTGCAAAGAAAGTACAATCCTACTATGGAGGATTTATTTAGTTGCCTAAGAGTGTTCAATGCAATTTTCAATGGTAGTTGCTATGTGCCTGTCTGGAAGGGTATGGGTTTTCTGCAGGTCCTGTGTCACATCTGCAGGCTTTGTGTGGATGTTTTGCATTTAAAATGGAACTAGATGGCTGTGCCTAGTCAGCTGAACTAAATCCTAGATACCCAATTATCACTGATTCAAGAACCTTTCATATAAAAGCTTGGAGCAGACAGAGTAACAAAGACAAAAATTTAAGTCAAATAAATTCTTGGTTTAGATGGTTTAAAATAATAAAGTGTGGAGAATATTAAAACCTCCTAGGAAAATGTCTATTTTTGTAACTGTCGATTCAGTCTTTTACACAAAAGTAGGTAATGTTAGTAAAATAAAGATGTTATAATAATTTAGAATGACATGAATAAGGTTTTTATGACCCTTCTCAATTTTTCATTATTACTTTTTCCTAGATGAAAACTATAAAATATGTGATACAAAATATCAGTTACAATCCGTGGCTTCAGTATCCTATTACCAAGAGCACAAATATTAGATGAAAGAATAAATCATGCCACACAGGGATAATCAATAGATTCTACAACGTGGTCTAAATAATAAGAAACCTTCAAGACTGAACTGTATTACTAGTGCCCCAGCAACCAACAGATGAATGACTTCAATAATCAGCTGCATGACTTTTTGACTATTTGTGCTTTTCTAAATAGCATATGATAATACTGGCCACTTGTGTTTATGATTCTGCATCATGCTGTTTGTCATTTTAGGATTTCTTACAAAATTTGTCAAGTTTATTTTACTGGCATGTTTCCTACTTTATAACCACCAAAGCTATTCCAGCGATTTGTTTTGCTGCCAGACAGCTTGAAGAATGACAAACAGCAAAGCAGACCTATGTTTATTTTCAGTATTGAACAGCTTCTGTGAACACCTTACAATGGCAGTCTATGCCATTTACAATACTTTCAGAGATTTCAATGAGAAATCAAGTCATGCTGGTTCAATACTGCAAATGCATCATAGATTTAACAATGTGTTTTTCTATTTTTTGAGTCTATGGGCCCAAACTAACATCATTAGTCTTAATTATTCAGCCACATAAGAGAAGTGTGAGTTTTTCATTAGTATAAACCCAATACCTATAAAAGACATTTTAAATATAATCAAGATGAGCCAGACAAGCTCTTTCAATTCTTATTAAATGTCTTTTAATCTGCAGGTTCGGTGCCTCTTGTCTCCATCCTTTATGACATCTTTGTATTAACCACTATACAACATCATACAATATCCTACAGATACCTTCTGTAGCACTACTGTAAATAATGGGTGACATGTCTATTTTATTTTTGCTACACTTACAATTATGATTTGTACAATCCTAAGTCAAAACTCAGGGCTGCCAATATATTAACCCTTAGTTTTTTAGAAAGAACAGTAATATCTTTCTTCCTGGTATTGCTAACAAGGGTCAAAACACAAGGCAAGGAAAAAAATATAGATGAGCACTTTTTTGGTTTATATATTTTGCATCTATTCAGCCGAACCTTCATATCAGTACATATATATATATATATATATATATATATAGGCTTTTTGATGAGTGCATTTAATAAAGTGGTCACATAGTGAGGTAAAGTAACTATCAATCAGTTCACTTCTTTAAAAGATTTTCAACCTTTCATTCACCTTCTTTAACCTTTCTGTTCCTTAGAGCCACAGCTAGGTCCAAATTATAAAGACACCACAATGCAGTAACCCATCCAGTGGATTACTGTCTTTAAAAGACCACACAAAAGTATATGAATGCCTTGTTTACTAGAACAACTCACAAAGAGAACATAAAAGAAGCCTTGTTTTTTTCCTAAACATCAATCAGATGTAATGGAAATACTGCACAGAATGAAATAGAATTTGGATTGGATTTTAAACCAGCCCTGCAATTCTAATACTTAACAGTTTTGGCAAAGTGTTTCTCTACTACAGGAACCTTAGAAAATTAATTAAAAAAAAAATTCTGTGGAATCATGTTGTCACAAAAGCAACTGCATTTTCTTCAAGTTTACCCTTTCTTCACACAGATAAATATTTTATAGAAGCTGCTGAATAAGAAAATGCATGGTCTAATTCTGAGTATTACCTTTTGAAAAACCCATAATACTTAACACAAAGGTAGTCTAATAAATTAAAAATCCAGTAGTGGGCCAACAAATTGTAAAGTGTCATAATTCAGAACTAATTCACCAGGTTACATTACATATCATAAATTAATTCACACTGAGTCAGGGTAACATACAGAATTCAATAAATTATAACTAGACAGCTTAAATTCCATCATAGAATCATAGAATAGTTAGGGTTGGAAAGGACCTTAAGATCATCTAGTTACAACACCCCTGCCGTGGGCACAGACACCTCACACTATACCATATCACCCAAGGCCTCGTCCAACCTGATCTTGAACACTGCCAGGGATGGAGCATTCACAACCTCCCTGGGCAACCTATTCCAGTGCCTCACCACCCTAACAGGAAAGAATTTCCTCCTTATAGCCAATCTAAACTTCCCCTGTTTAAGTTTTAACCCATTACCCCTTGCCCTATCACTACAGTCCCTAATGAAGAGTCCCTCCCCAGCATCCCTATAGGCCCCCTTCACACACTGGAAGGCTGCTATGAGGTCTCCATGCAGCCTTCTCTTCTCCAGGCTGAACAGACCCAACTTCCTCAGCCTGTCTTCATAGAGGAGGTGCTCCAGTCCCCTGATCATCCTCGTGACCCTTCTCTGGACTTGTTCCAACAGTTCCATGTCCTTTTTATGTTGAGGACCCCAGAGCTGCACACAATACTCCAGGTGAGGTCTCACAAGAGCAGAGTAAATGGACAGGATCACCTCCTTCCACCTGCTGGTCACG